ATACCCACCCACGGTGAGTCTGTTATCTGTGGCCGTCTGTGATGTGCTGTTGGTTGTATATTGGGCTGATTAAATCGGGTTCTCGCTTGTATCTGTTAAACCGTAAACCTCACATAAGGCACATCAACTGGGATCGTACATTTAATATGACTTATCCAAAGTATGAGTTATGTCAAACTTGAATAGAATCTGAACTCTTGAACGGACGGGACTTGGGGCAAATATACGACTTAGGCGATAATACGATTGATACAGATCAGACTTATGCAGGTTTTACCACGTATATACCAGTCTGAATGCTTGTGTGTGCGGGAGCCTTACCTCGCGGGTCGTTGATTTGGGATTTCAGGTTCTGAGTTGACGACCGGCCTCGATACAGAACCTTTGGAATCTCCGGCCTCGATGGGAAATCTCCTGGGCTCGGGGTCTGCAGTCGAGCTCATTTCTGTACACGCGATTTTAAACAAAACAACAAAAAGAACATATTAAGTCAAGTGCCACTGGTTTAAAGGAAAAGAAAAAAAAGTAAGATATTTAAGAGTGTAAAACGACGAGCAGCAACTAGGAGGAGTTTTTTTTAACTGAATAATAATAATTCTTGCAGTTGGTACAGCACCATATCGTGTTGGAAGGACGTCTTAAAGCGCTTCACAGAATATACTGCGAAATGGAGTGACTGCGTATATTGTGGGCAAAACGCAGCAGTCAATTTGGGCGCAGCAATGTCTCACAAACAGCCGTGGAAACGAGTGACCAATTTTTCTCCTCTTTTCGAATAGCGTCATATAATAAATAAGCCTTGTATTTGATACAGCGCCTTATCACGTCGTCGAGACGACTCAAAGCGCTTCACAGGATCTATTGCCAAGTGAACCGACTGTACATTTTGTGGTCGAAAATACAGTTAATTTTATATGTTTTATACATATGGTAAATTATACATTTTGTCATGAAATCTTATGAATTATTATTAAATATTATCACTGCCTGGAAACAAAGGAGCCTGAAATAATTATATTATTATTAAAATATTGATGACTTACTGGAAACAAGGAGATTGAGGTAGAAAACCTCTGTTGGACTGTGTTCAGATTTGGTCAGAACCGAGAGGCAGTTGGAGACTCAGTTACATCTCTGGATCTGTTGTTATTGGGTCAGAAACGTCACAATGATTGAAGGGAAAACCCTTATATTACAATTCCCCACGTGTGTGAGGGTGTGTGTCTGGGGGTGTAGGGCTGTGTGTGTGTGTGAGGGTGTGTGTCTGGGGGTGTAGGGCTGTGTGTGTGTGAGGGTGTGTGTCTGGGGGTGTAGGGCTGTGTGTGTGTGAGGGTGTGTGTCTGGGGGTGTAGGGCTGTGTGTGTGTGTGAGGGTGTGTGTCTGGGGGTGTAGGGCTGTGTGTGTGTGAGGGTGTGTGTCTGGGGGTGTAGGGCTGTGTGTGTGAGGGTGTGTGTCTGGGGGTGTAGGGCTGTGTGTGTGTGAGGGTGTGTGTCTGGGGGTGTAGGGCTGTGTGTGTGAGGGTGTGTGTCTGGGGGTGTAGGGCTGTGTGTGTGTGAGGGTGTGTGTCTGGGGGTGTAGGGCTGTGTGTGTGAGGGTGTGTAGGGCTGTGTGTGTGAGGGTGTGTGTCTGTGGTGTAGGGCTGGTGTGTGTGTGAGGGTGTGTGTCTGGGGGTGTAGGGCTGTGTGTGTGTGAGGGTGTGTGTCTGGGGGTGTAGGGCTGTGTGTGTGTGAGGGTGTGTGTCTGGGGGTGTAGGGCTGTGTGTGTGAGGGTGTGTGTCTGGGGGTGTAGGGCTGTGTGTGTGTGTGTCTGGGGTGTAGGGCTGTGTGTGTGTGTGAGGGTGTGTGTCTGGGGGTGTAGGTGTAGGGTGGTGATGGTGTGTGTCTGGGGGTGTAGGGTTGGGCTGTGTGTGATGGTGTGTGTCTGGGGGTGTAGGGATGGTGTGTGTCTGGGGGTGTAGGGATGGTGTGTGTCTGGGGGTGTAGGGTTGGGGTGTGTCTGGGGGTGTAGGGTTGGGGTGTGTCTGGGGGTGTAGGGTTGGGGTGTGTGTGAGGGGAGGGGATGTAATAAACATGAACAGATCCCCAGTGATTGTTTCAGACTGACTTTCTCTCTCTCAGTGCTATGATCAGACAGACAGGTGTCTTACTCTGGTTTCCAGAGAGGACAAAAAAGACAGAGTTTTTTAGGGGTTTCTCTGTCGCTGTTTGGGCTTTGAAGTGGTCAAAACTCCACATTCTAAGACGTAAATTAAATGAAACATCGTCTCATCCCATTGCAAACCCATTACATTGTACACAGACAGACACACACACACACACACACCAGCCCAAGGATGTTTTATGGTGTTAGGAAACTGATACATTTCGAAATCAATCATGTTGTTTTTTATTGTGACAAACATCATCTATTTTATTTATTTGAGCTGCTTTGCGGGTTTGTTTCTAGATCCGAATCAGATGAGAAGGATCTATATATTTTTTTTAATTTCCTCTGTGTCTGTGTCTATGGTGTCTGCGGTGTTTATTTGTCTGTGGGGTGTCTTTGGTATAGTAATAATAATAATAATCCTTGCATTTGATATAGCGCTTTTCACGTCTTCTCGACGTCCCAAAGGGCTTCACAGAACACTGTAAAGTATATTTGTGGGCGAACGCAGCAGCCAATTGCGCACAGCAATGTCCCACAAACAATCGTAGGTTGAAAATGACCAATTTATTATTGTTTTTGGTTTTGGAGGGATTATTATTAGGCTCTGTGTGGAGTAAGGAAACTTGCCCAAGGTTTCGCCCTCTGCCTGGAATTGAACTCAGGTCTCTGTATCTGTGGTGTGTGTGTGTCTGTGGTTTGTGTCTGTGTTTGTAGTGTGTATCTGTGTCTGTGGGGTCTGTGTATGTGTGTGTGGTGTGTCTTTGGAGTCGTGTATGATGTGTCTGTGGTGTGTCTGTGGGGTCTGTATGTATGTGTTGTGTGGTGTGTCTGTGGGTGTGTATGATGTGTCTGTGATGTGTCTGTGGGGTCTGCATGTGTGTCTGTGGTGTGTGTGCCTGTGGGTGTGTATGATGTGTCTGTGATGTGTCTGTGGGGTCTGCATGTGTGTCTGTGGTGTGTGTGTGTCTGTGGGGTCTGTGTGTGTGTCTGTGGTGTGTGTGTGTCTGTGGGGTCTGTGGTGTGTCTGTGGGGTCTGTATGTATGTGTCTGTGGTGTGTGTGCCTGTGGGGTGTGTATGATGTGTCTGTGATGTGTCTGTGGGGTCTGTATGTGTGTCTGTGGTGTGTGTGTGTGTGTCTGTGGGGTCTGTGTATGTGTCTGTGGTGTGTGTGTGTGCGCTAACACGTTTATTAAACCCAGTAATAAAATAATGCTATGGGGTGTCTCAATGTAACCCTCAGGTCCTGATACAATAAAGAGATCGAAAGAGAAACAAACTATTTGTAAACGTGGACAAAACTCAAACAAAACGTGTCTGATCCAAGAATGTCAGCCGGACACAAGTAGCTCAACTTTACAAACGTCTGACTAGGATTCTAGTTAGGAAAAAAATTACACCTTGATTTAGAGTTAGAGCCAGGAAACAGCAATGGGATATGTTTTGGGGATTAGAAGGGGGAGATTTGGAAGATTTTTTTTATTTACAAGTTGAGATCAAAGTCTTGTGTTGGAGATAAGATCATTAAAGCAGGATCATTGCGGGGTTGGGGGGGGGGGGGGAGTTGGGGGCTGTTTTGAGGGTCGGGTTTAGGAGTTAGAAGATCAGTGTCTTTGGAGTTGAGTTTTGAGGTGGGGGGGGGGCTGAAGAAAGCAGAAATGATAGCGATGCTTTGGGGTGTAGAGTTGGTGGGGGGCAGCAAAATAACAGGGCACTTTGGGTTTGGATTACAACAACAACTTGGGTTTATATAACGCCCTCCACGCCGGATGGCGTCGCAGAGCTTTACAGTAACGGATCCCGGGGCTGAGACGGGGGGAGGGGGGGAAGGTGACCAAAGGCGTAGTCGAAAAGGTCTTCAGCAGAGACCTAAAGATGGGAAGGGAGGGAACGAGGGAAGGGAGTGAGGAAGGCAGTTCCAGAGCCTCGGGGCGTAGTGGCTGAAGGCACTGCCGCCGAGGGTGGAGCGGAGGATTCGGGTGGAGGGTTAATGTTACAGCGAGTCAAAGTGACGGCATGGTCAAGGTTTTAGAAATAAAGATCACTTCTTTCTTCTTGTTCACTTAAGAGTAATGTAATAACAATCCCAAAGTGCTTCACAGAATATATTGTAAAGTGTAGTGACTGCGTATTTTGTGGGCGAAACGCGGCAGCCAATTGCACACAGCAGCGTCCCACAAACAGTCGTGGATTGAGTGACCCAATGTGTTTTTTTTTGAGGGATTGTTACCACCAGAAAGAGATCCGCCAATTGACTAGCAACTGGGTTCCTACTCACTGCAGGTAAACAGAGGCGTGTGTGTGGAGTCAGGAAATTTGCCTAAGGTTTAGCTCAGGCATCGAACCCAGGTCCTCTCGCTTGCGAAGCGAGCGCTCTAACCACTGCGCTACAGGTCTCCACTTCAAAAGACTGGCTCGTCTGCACCGCAGTCTTTAATGAAACTCAACTCACCCGTGACACCAGGTGTGCATCCTCACCAGAGTACACTTAGATTAATTGAGGGGGTTCGCAGTCAATAACACCTGCATTATGTCCAAATAAAAACCCAACCCTTTAAAACAAAGACTGGTTATAAATGATTAACATTAGTAAATCTTGCTTCAGCCAGTGCACAGCACAAAGTTTCCTTAGTAACAGTTAAATTATGGCATCACAATGAAGTCACATTTATATCTGCTGAGCTATATTGCTAAGGCTAGTCACAACCCGGGATTGATTTTGTTTTAATATATAATGTCCGACTTTAGAAACAAGTTAGGAAGCCAAGAGACGTTGGTTACATTGCGTGGAACTGGATAGACAGACTGCGGCATGTGATCGCCTAAGCTGGTAAAGAAAGTTGGATGAGAAGCAATGGAAAAACTGCTCCTGTCTAAAGGATATCAGCTGGGAATCACCATTGGGGAGGGAACCTATTCCAAAGTCAAGGAGGCTTACTGCAAACATCAGGAGAGGAAAGTCGCCGTCAAGATCATCGATCGACAGACAGTACCAAAAGGTTCTTCCACATTCCCCCATTGCAATGTCATGAGAACGCAAACTCCCACCCACCTGAAAGCGTTAACAGTAACAATAATCTTTGCACATCAAACCATGTGGCTGGGCTTTTAAACCTCTCGTTATCAAATCCGTGTCATTTTTAAATGCAGCAAACACAATTCTTTTGTTTCTGAGGGCTATTCATTCCCATACGCTAATAATAACAATCACTGATATAGCGCCTTATCATATCATGGAGACGTCGCAAAGCCCCTCACAAGATATACTGTGAAGTGAATTGATTGTATGTTTTGTGGGCGAAAAGTGGAGCCAGTTCTGAACTTCCACCTTCAGTTAACAAGTTTGATTTACACACTTTAGTTAAGACAATCCCTTGGTCGGTCTTTGTCCATAATACTTATTCCCCGGGATTCATTGCAGACAAAGTTCCCTTTGAACTCATTGTGTTAAGGTCTCTTATTAACTGTTGATGCACATTACAGCCAGCAGAGATGGCATTTACAGATTACAATGTATTGACATTCCGTGCGCGTTTCAGTGTAAAGACTGACTGACGTGTGAGCAAAAGTGGAACCTGTTTTCGTTTATAGCAATATCAACAATCCTTGAGAAAAAGGAACAAGCTTACAGGTGCTTCTGAAGAAGACTAATATTAGGGTTTGGTCCTAATAAGATCAGTGATTGTCTCCTAAATATGCCAACCTTACTGGTCCATTCCCGCAGCAGTTGTTAAATGTGAAAGACCGGTTCAGTATGGATCTTAAAGGCATATGATTGACATAGAACGAAAGGTTTACATTCATTTTCACCGCAAACTCTGCTTTCGGTTTCCAGATTTCATCCACAAATTTCTCCCGCGGGAGCTGCAAATAGTCCAGAACTTGGATCACAAAAATATTATCAAGGTTCACGAAATCTGGGAGTCGGAGGATGGCAAGATCTGCATGGTCATGGAGCTGGCGGAAGGAGGGGACGTCCTGGAGCACATCAGGAGAGAGGGGCCACTGTCTGAGCAAAACGCGAAGGCCTTGTTCCGTCAGCTGGTGGCAGCCATTCGATACTGTCACGACAGCGGCATCGCTCACAGGGACCTCAAGTGTGAAAATACCTTACTGGATAAAAGCTTCAACGTGAAGTTGGCAGACTTTGGATTCGCTAAGATCTTTCGCACGGGCTCTGCCGAACTGAGCAAGACCTTCTGTGGCAGCACGGCTTACGCTGCCCCTGAGGTTCTGCAGGGGGTCCCACACCAGAGCGTGAAGAGTGACATCTGGAGTCTGGGGATCGTGCTGTACATCATGCTCTGCGGCCACCTGCCTTTCGACGACACCAATATCCCCAAGATGTTGTGGCTTCAGCAGAACGGGGTGGTGTTCCCAGGGCACGTGGAGCTGAGTAGGGAATGTCGAGATCTGGTCGGAAGATTGCTGGAACCTGATGTCAGCCTGAGACCTCCGGTACAGGAGGTTTGCTCCCATCCATGGTTAGCAGACAGCCAATAAACGTGCTCAGCAAATTGATTGTTTAAAATTTTTACCGACAGCTGCCGATAAGAGTACACGGTCTAGAGAGATACTGGCTGATGTTAAGGACACTGCTGCACGCAAGAGTGTCCGAATGACCACTGGCGAGGACAGCTCTGAGATATTTGCCATCGGATGACAGCACAGGCAGGGGACCTCTTCTGTGCAATACTAGCAACTGCCATTTTTGTCACTCGAAAGATAAACATTCTAGCAATATTTCCGGTATAGCTTCAGTCCATCTTTGTAAGTCTAGTATTGCTTAGCGCTAAGGGTTACAGTCACGTCTTGTAAGCACTGAAGAGAACGTACAGAACTATGGCTATAGAGGGAGTTATAAACATGTAGAATATTAATGAATGGCCAACAAAATGTCATATAGTAAATGACGGATGCTCGGAAGGCAGAAGTAGAAGTTGTGTAGCCCCAAATTGGTTTGGGACCAATTTTACTAGAGATGCAACTAAGTGAACTGTGCATGTCACCTCCAAAACAACAAGAGCCCCTGATCACATTATACAGTGTAATAAATAGAAGGGATTTATTTCTGTATGTGAAAATAATTCGCTGGTGGTAAGTCAAAGATTGTGTGGTTCTGATGATGTTTAAGAGCCCAGCGAGTAATGTTCAACATCCGCATTGTGCCTCGGTGTAAAGGGGAACATTCCCACACTGGTGGGAAATGACAACCATTGACAAACAAATGAGGAGAAATGTATTAGCGTATTTTTAAAAAAAACATTTTAGCTATTAATTAATTTTAAATTTAACGTAGTTTTTGCCTTGGCAAATTCAATGTGGTTTCTAACTGGTGATGAGCACCATTTACATTTGACAATGTCTGCTTGAGTTACTTTGATGCCATATAGATTTCCAGTATTACTATATTTAAAAAGATCTACAACTTTCTGTACCCAAGAAACATTTAAGCACAAGGTGAGAAACCAGGAGTTTTATATATATATATATGAACAAGTATAATTTCCAGTAAACTCGAAGTCTAGTGACAGGAACTCTTATGTTTAATGAAGATTTGATAAAACATTTTTATTGTAGTGATATGTACAAGCACAGACTATTTATTATACAGATCGACTGCGAGGATGGTTTCAACATTTAGAATGAATTTCAAAGGCTAAGTATAGAATTGCAGAACGGAGCAATGAGTTTTGGGGAGATAAAAATCATAAGTTATATCTTTGAGATGCAATTACAGGGGCAGGAGCTTATGTTACTCCACACCCCACGTTTTCCAAGTTATCAATTCATCGTATGTTTGTGCAGCACATTAATAAAATATAGAATTTGGATTAAAAATTTAATTGACGTGACCACAGGTTACAAGTCAATCAACAATGTTCTTTCAAGGTTGCAAAAAAAAAGCAAATAATCTACTAATTTTGGTGTTAAATTGAAACATTTGTGCAAGATCTGAAACAAATGAAGTAATTGAGATGACAGCAATGTTTATGCAATTACACCATACAAGAGATTATCGCTCGTGTAGCTTCTCAATTTACTGTGTGCCAGAACAGCAGCATTCTACCGTAGAGTTTTCGTTACAGAAAGAATAAATCATTATTTTTATAATCTTCGTTCCAGCTGATCCTGCCTTTACTGGAGTGCGTTACTGTCCCAGTTTTCATCTCTACATCACTTGTCTCACACTGTAACAACAAGGCTGCAAGGATATTAGAGAATCAACGTTCAGTTGTGTTGTGTTTGCCCATTCATAGCTCCGTACATGTTAATAACCAATGAACAGTTCAACATTATTGATCAGATCAGGTAATGACACACTTCTCTGGAGAAAGGCACAGCTAGCGAGTAGCTAGCAATTATAATCAGCACTTTCTATTGCTCTCGAGTAATGCACATTTCAGAACGTATCAGACCATTTCGTTTTCAAATTGTCATCACCCCTTCAGAGTTTATCCTCTATAGCAGGGCGCTATATCCTTTAGTCAAAATAAAAAGTGGGTTCAGCCCCCAAAATGATATCAAATGTTGAATTAAAGTGACAGGAACAATACCCACAGTGAAGTGAACCGTGAATAATTTCCCCTTCTTCACTCATCACTTCACCAAAGGGATAAAGCACTCATCTTCCAGTCTCCATCTCGAGGTCAGTTGAAAGCCTACAAAATGTCACGACCATTTGCCAGAACCTTCTGCCAGGCTCACGTGTACCTCACAGATAAAATAATGCAAATTGAAATAGTGCTTTAAATAAGAAATTTGCCGAGGGATTTTTGATCAGAATATTCCAATTCAAAATTCACAGGACACCAATTTGTGGATGTCTACGACAGGTTCTACGCAACTTTCAAATTAAAAAAATATTTTCAGCATTAAGAGCTACCAATAATCAACACTACCGGGAAGCAGCCAGTTGTACATGTTTACTCCATCCCCACTGAAGCAAATGGAGAAATTCAATTTCCAATTAGTGCTTTAGTGAAAATTTTCGATTTATTTTACAAAGTGCTGGAACACCAAAACCATTTGTCCATTAACCCTGTGTGAATTAACAGAAGCAACTGGAAATTTGTAGAAGGTCTGACGCAATTCAAATTACAAATCTAACGCTTTCCCATTTCTGTCCGCTAGAAAATGCTGCTCAAAATGCAGAGAATCTTCAGTAGACTGTATATTGCACAACCAACCAGCTGTTAATCACTTGAAAACAGAACACCATTAGAAACTATAGTAGCAACTATGTCCGTCACCGAATAAGAACTTTAGTCTAAACAAAAATGAAATATATACCATGCTCCAGTTCTCTGTAATTACATGCTACGAAGCCCGCTATATGATACATGCAGTATAAAAGGTGATATCCAGCTTACTGACACCTGTATTGGCATGACAGGCAAAGAATATAAACACAATGCTCATTACATTATCAGCATGAAACGATCGAAGAGTCAACTGAAGTCCAGGTCCATTTTATTCCCAATTCTCCCAGTCTTCTTCCAGCTGAAACAGGGCAGGTTTTTAAAATTAGGAACAGTCAGGAGAGAGAGAGGGAGAGAGAGAGAGAGAGAGAGACAGAAAGAGAGGGAGCGAGCTATTGCCAATTAACAGTTGAAACATACACATCCACCATCAATACATATTCTAAATGCCAATTAAGTCAAAACATCAAGATGATTGTGGAGATTGGATAAATTGCCATTTCTACAACATACACCAAAAATCAAGTTGCCATTTTTAAAAAAAAACGAATCCATCGATGTGATCTCACGAAGTTATTTATTATTTTCTATCACAGAGGTTTAGGAATCTGATGAAGCAAATCCAAAAATGTGTTTTTAAATAAAAACATACCACCATAATTGGACCATATATACGCGTGTGTGTGTGTGTATATATACACACACACATATATATATCAATATTTCATTGACTTCCTAGTTTTGTTAAATAAGCTGACTCTCAGCTGGCTCAGAGTTAGAGACTTTATAATTGAGCTCAGTGCCCTTGGGCTATCGAAGGGAAAGAATGAATGAATTCCCGGAGTTAAACTGTAATAAAAGCATCATTTTAAAAAGTGACTAAAAGTTTGGTAGTTTTAAGAGTTTAGGTCCTGGTATTTTGAAAATGGTAAAGTAAAATAATGCTGTCACATCTTTTTATTGCAAAGTCAAACTATATTTTATAGGAGTTCTCCTCTCAAGTGAAACAGGAAAATCCACTCAGTCCAATTCGCTCAACACGTCCCATTCCCTTCATACCAATATTTCTTGTTGGCGGGAGTGAAGCAGAGAAGGCAGTACAATACCCAGCAACATTAAACTAAGTCCAGTCACACCCAGAGAGAGAGTGTAATTAATTACCTGTCCTGATGCATCCACCTGAGACAGTGCTAACTGGACCTCCTCCTCTGTCATATCCAGATCAAAGTCTTTTTCCCAGTCCTCACTGATGTCTGTGCTGGAACCTGAGATAAACAGTAAAAACATAGTCAGAATGAAAAATAAAAGCAAACGAGACACTGGAAGGCAACACATTAGAATCATCAATGGTGATAATAAAAACATAATAAAGCCAAGTTACCTGCCACACATAAAGAAAGTTTTAACAAGTTAATTCTAATATTCTTCAACAGTCGCAAGTTACGGAAATTCTCAAATGTTCCTCGTCTTTTATATTAACGACCCTTGGCTGGTTTAAGAAGCATTCTCTGGGTTCACCCAGAGAATCAGAGTTGCACATCTGATGAAAGGGCAAAACCCAAGACATTAATCTCTCTCTTGCAGTTGCTGATTACAAAATTCATATTTTTTTTCTTTTATCTGCCACTAAATTATATTTTTGCTGTTTCTGAAGAGCCAGCAGGACTGCTAACTCCTCGGTGTCATTAAAATAACATAATGAAACCCATCACTATTTTCATTTCACGATATGGCTTCAACGTTTTATAGTAGTCCAACTGCTCTCGATGCTGGATTGTGAGAGAAAGTAAAACAAAACTTGTGCTTTCCCTTCACCAAAATTAAACAGAAACTTTACCCTCATTGAAATCCCAATTTCCATTGGGTAACACAAGAACAATTGTTTATCCACTGGAAGAAGAAATATTGATGCCCTTGTTTAATAGAAGCTCCCATGACCTCACCACTGTAACTACGTCTATTTTTCCTGAGTCATTGTTGAGATGACGACTAGACACCAGTTTGTACAAGACACCACATGTAGTGATAATCACCTTTCTTTCCATTATTGGAAGGTGTGGATTTCCCACTGTCTGAGTTCAGTTCATACACTCTCAAATCCACCGGCCCCTCATCTTTGATAGTCCCGGGTCTGTTACTGTCCTTGGCCTCGATCACGGCTCCAATAACATCACCGCTTGCTCTTGTTTCTGTCTCAGTTTCTGTTGCTGAACCATCGGTCTCTTTATCCACAGTAGAAAGCTTCTCCCGAGACTCAGGAACCTTGGAGTTCAGCTCCTGTTCCACCACCAGCTCCGAGCTGGTTTCTGTTAAATCCTTTACAATTTCTTTCACTGTCTCTTCAGATCTGGAGGTCTCGCTGGAAGTCGAAACTTGGTTCTTCAACTGAGGCTCTGTGGGACTGAGGTCAAAACTGACTGACTGGAGAACTGCTGGCGTTTGTGTCATGTCAGCATCGTCCTTGCGTTCAAGTTCATCCACTTTTGCCACACTAGATCTTGGAAGTGGGAATTCCACAGACAATAAGGACCTATTCTGAACATGTTGTAAATCTGTCCTGGTAGGAGAAGAACCTATAAATTCATCTGAAAGAGAACAAGTATTTTATGAAAGTGAACTTCTGAACCTTTTAAAACTTATTTTAAATATGTTCCCCCACCACAGTACAATTGAATAATAATTCTTGCATTTGATACTTGATCTTATCACAGCGTTGAGATATCTCAAAGCGCTTCACTGGATATACTATCAAGTGGTGTGACTGTGTGTATCCTGTGGACAGACACGGCAGCCAATTTGCTCATAGCAATATCCCACAAACAGCCATAGATTGAGAGTGACCAATTTCATTTGGGAGATTGTTAGCCAAGACACTGGGAGAAACCAGCTTCCATAAACCAAAATCCCAATTTTAAATACAGTAATTACATTAAATACATCAGTAACAGTAGCAATAGGATGTAATACATTATGTACCAAAGTTACTTGATCAATAGTTTCAGCTCCACGGTAATTACAATCAAAGCAGTGTTAGACCATTTCCTAATATCTTTCAAAGGTTGATCATCAAATTACAATTCCAACAAACGGTTTACAGAAAGCTGTTCGTCCTTCGAGTTCAAGCCCCATCTGTGCAAAAGGTAAATTGGTACTAATGCTCTTACCCTCCTCTTCTTCCCACCTCAGCTCCTCCGACTGTGATATCTGCTCTGCTCTTTGTTTCAATGCTATTCTCCTGGCCTCTTCCTGTAAGAGGACACACAGGACGTTATCTTGTGCCTCAAACACACCATTTGACATTGTGCTAAAATTAACGAGAAACATTACTGACATTATTACCACAGTTGGACAGTTGGTCTTAGAGACACAATGTCTTTAAGAAGCAGAGATATCGGAATCTCCGCCTTAACTCCAAATCCTTGAAATCAATATTCTGGTTGGGTTCCAAACAAATAGAAAATGATCAAGTCGTAAGAATATAACAATTTGCTGGGGGAAAGAAGACAACAACAACTTGCACGTACATAGCGCCCTCTACATAGGGTAGCGTCTTAGAGCGCTTAACAGTGGCGGAGCCTGACTCTGGTCCATCCAGTTCACCTTCAACCATCTTGGCAGTTGCATGACATGTCGAGTCCCAAACTATATATTGCATTCTCAGATACTATTTTCTAACAGAAATCTATCAAATCTATCCAATAGGTTAATTACGATAATTGTAAAACATTGCAAACTGCATAATGAGCTAAAACTTTCTCCATTTTGGCACAACAGAAAAAAAACACTGACCCCCTCCCTCACCGCAGTCCACTATGATCTTTTAGTTGGTGGATAGAGAGAAAAGGAAGACCCTGTTCGACTCACCACTTCAAGGACACCCAGTCTGACACATTATTATTCACTTCACAAGTTGAAACAGTGCTGAATTGAGCAAAACACCAGTTAACCCCTTAATTTTGCAGGCTCTTCTTTTAAGATTATAAAATACTATAAATGTATAAGGCAGGTTCCACGTGGACCTACATTTTGCTGCGGGACACATGCTACATTAATGAAACAAGATTTATAGCCGAATTAGCATGAACAAAGGTCCACTGGACAACCAAATCCCAATAACTGGTCAAAGTAAGAAAATGATAGTATTATTATTTGGTGCTGTATCACCAGCATTCACCTGTTCAAGCTGATGGAGCTTATAAAAGTAGCGATGCCAGAATTCTGAATGGGACACGGCTGCTGGTACCTGGGGAAGAGGGAAAGGAAAGAAAGTGAATCTCAATTCTACATTCAAACATGTATCTAATGAATAGCTACTAATACTTATTTTAATAACAATAATCCTTGCATTTGATATAACGCCTTATCACGTCTCCAAGACATCTCCAAGAGCTTCACAGAATATATTGTAAAGTATAGTGACTGTATATATTGTGGACAAAACGCAGCTGCCAATTGCGTACAACAGTGTCCCACAAACAGTAGTGGATTGAGTGACACAATTATTTTTTAAAGGGATTAATACCCTCGGAAAAGGAACCCACCATTCAACTAACAACCGGGTTCCTACTTACTATTAAGTAAACTGCGTGTGGAAATAGGAAACTTACCCAATGTTTCGCCCAGCCCGGGAATCAAACCCAGGTCCTCTAAACCAAAAAAGCAAGTTTGTTCAATGGATTTTCTCTTCCCATTGTTACTTGTTCTAATATCATAAACTATAAGCAAGCTGTGGCCCATTCTAACCGGGCCCTCCACTAGTTTGTAATGAGGGTTAAGTGAACCCATGAATTAAATCTTATCAGATTTATAGAAATGAATTACACACCATTTTGGTATAAAGTGCTCGTACTGAAGGACTGCTAACCAACAGGTCTGAGATCTCCCCTTTCCGCTCTTCAAGATTGAATTCAACAACCCACTCGTCATAGAGTTCTGGGGGACCTGTGGAATAAACACCGGTACACAATTACAGGATTTAACTACTGTTACTTCATTCAGAAGTAAAGCAGCTCTGAATCCTAACATTAAAAGATCAACGTATGAGCCTTTTATTTTTTCAATGTTGCCTATCCTCACAGCTTATCTAAATGAGGCTTCACAATGCTGGCATTTACATCAAACAACTTGCATTTATATAGCACCCCTCACACAGGGTAGCATCCTAGAGCCCTTGAAATTGCAGCACAATCAAAAACGACAGTAGTTTTGTTCCTTCACTACTGAGATATGGATTTAACTTCAGTCAAGACCAATAGAATGAAAGTCATCTCCCGTCTCCACTGGACATGGGTTGAGAAAGCTGCAAAGTTATCTAACCAGTGTGTGTGAGGTCACAATGTCTATCGGCTCCTCAATGGACAATTTCAAGCAGACCAGGTGACACTGGCTGTCGAGGGAGTTGGAGGAATAACTCTGGTGCTGCTCTACAGTTAGGGCCAATCTAAGATTGGTATTGTTCTAAGATTTTTGTTGAAAAAGAAATTGTATATTGAAAACATTAGCCACCTTCCTACAATTTACGTTTGTCAAACATTAGTATTACATTAACAGTTTCTTACCGTCGGGCTCATTGCAGTATGTTGCTGGATCAGTCTGGAGAGTATAAAGACGAGCCTGAAAGACAACACACCATTAAGGATTGACTCTCTTGTAGTAGTGCAGTGATTTGAAGTATCCAAGAAAAGTGCAATGAAACATCACATGAGCTCAAACCAGCAGGACCAAACATAACCGCAGTGCATATTGGACAGAAGATGAAAGTACCCCAAATAATTTGGCATAAGGAAATGCAAATCATAATGTTTGGCTGCAATAAAGGTTTTTTTAAAAAAAGATAAATTCTGTTAGGCCTCAGATTGTACTTATCCTCATATATTTATCAAAACATTTCTATCCACTTACAATGAAGTAAGAGAATCAAGTAAGTGGGTTGGACTGCTGCAAGTACAGTACACACATGATGCACCACTAGAGAGACAGCCAACAGAGGCACAAGATATGCCCTCCAACAACTTACATTCAGCCACCACCACTGAGCTGTGTTGTGTTACACCCAGTGATTATGGGCTGACCCACAGGACACTATCAGCACAAACTGTTTCCTTAAAACTGACAGATCGCAGTTTCTCTCACGTACCTTTGTACTGTCATAAATTTCTGTCGTACCAGATGGCGTTGCGAGTAGTGTTATAACGTCACAGTCGATTGTTTTGTCTGGAGGCGGAGCAAATGTATCTGAAAGGACTCCCAAAATATTCGATAAGCCCTTTTTAACCTGCTGCCCTGCTCCTGAAGAACCTTCCGCCTACAAAACAAAATCAATTGTTAACATTGCATCACTGCATATTCATTTAAAAATTACCCAATGCATCTTGTGATAGGGACTTTCTGTGGGAGTGAAAAGAATGCAAGAATCTTAGGACTGAGTTAGCATTAAACATAAAACCCCTTGTGTTAGCCTGCAGCCAACAGAATTTTTATATAGCACAAGTAATGCAGTTTTATACTCACGCTTAACTTTTCTTTCACGGCATTAGCTGTAGCAGCAATGGTGCATGCTGTATCATGCTGTATCACATGTGAAAACTCCGCAAGATCCCGTTTCATAAACTCCAAAGCTTCAGTAGACTGTTGATAGGAAGCGCAATAGCACAGTATTATATTCTGCAAAGTGTGTTGCTTTTCTAATGATATACCCACAAATAGTTATGTCAAGACAAACATTAATGATCTATTTTTGTTTATCTAGCACACGCATTGCAATTACCACTGTCAGTTATCAAGGTGGCGGTGGAGGGGGAGAGAGAAAATTGAAACTGAATCAGGTTTTATAGAGGTGGGCGAGATTTCAGCCGCTCCATACACAAACACACACACAACACACAAAGGGGAGAGACCACTTGAAAGCTTTTTTTAAAAAAAAACCTTCTCTTAATTCATGAGCATTCGGACTTTTGTTTTGAAACCAATCTACTGGAAGAATCTCCCTTTGTGGTCAGAACATGGAGTACAGCATGGCACAGTGGCTTGGCACACTGCCGAGTCACCGTAAGATTCACATCCAGTCAAGAATAATGGGGCACAATTCATCTGCCTGTAGGATTGTTACAAAAATTTAGAACTGCGTGTAGGAGCCAGAGTCCACATCACCAAACGGTCTGTGATTCAGTACTAATTAATAATATTCCTTGCATTTGATAGCTAGCACCTGATCACATCCTCGAGACGTCTCAAAATGCTTTACAGAATATACTGTCAAATGAATTGACTGTTTATTAACACAAAACTAGAATAGTCACCAGAGGGGGTGAAAAGGATTGCTGGGACAGGAAAATAAAACGCCACATTGCTTTAGTGGGAAACAACAACAAAATTACATTTGTATAGCACCTTTCACATCGGGAGGAAACTTCGAAGATTAGAATAAGGTAAAAAAAGAGTAGAAACCTAGTAGATTTTGGCAATAGGTAAGAGGAAAAAAAGCAAAACATCTTATTTTGTTTCCAATTCCCTCCATTGTGAGTACAAATATCAACAACCTTATCTAAAAATCATGAAAACAGGTTACTTTCGGTTCCTGCACAAACATTGTTTACACCAAGTGACTTGATCCCAGGGAGAGATTCTTAGGGAGAGCTATTCCTTCAGGTTTCAAAAATCCCAAAGGTGTTGTTTTTATATATAATGAAGGTAAAATAGAGAACTAGAATAAAAATACTAGCAGCTATTAGAATTAGTGTGTAACAACAGAAAAGTATATGTGCTCCAGTTCTGATTATTACTCTCAGAACTCTCGTATTTTTTTATCCATTCATTGTCACTAACAAACAGCGAAGAGGCTGCAAATCTTTACCGTTAAAGAGCAGCTCATTTCAAATAATAACCTCAAACATTCAATCTATAAAATCCAGGTTCGTCAAATTATTAATAATTTATTGCAATTATTGCATTCTGGTCACCAACGCTAAAACGCTGTTTTTCAAATTCTTAAGGACACAAGTGCACATATTAGATGTGCCAAAGGGCAGACAATGTGCAGACAACTTCTTACCTTTTCTTTCACTGATTGCAAACTGTCCTGAAGCCAACTTCCCCACCAGCTCCCACCAGATCCCCTGTAGGACGAGAGGTGATTCCTTTTATCTGTTCATTCATTTATTTATAAAGTATAAAACATTTAAAACAATCATTTTCTCCAATAAATTTCCTTAAAAATATAATGATCTTTGCATTGATTTAATGTTGGTTGTAATAAAAGTAACAATCCATGTATTTGAGATGTCTCAAAATGCTGCACAGATATACTGTAAAGTCAATTATGTGCATTTTGTGGATGAAACACATCTATTTTGGGGATTTGTTGACCAGGAGAACACTAGGAGAAACTCCCTTCTGTTTCCAAATAGTGCCATGGGATTAACTTTACAAAGAACAAACACATTACAGTATACTTTACTTAATTTCAGAGTGCTTCACCCTTTTGTATTTAAAGCACACCTGTCCAATATTTCCATACTGTATTAAATCCAGCCGTAATAGTAAACCTGGCGAACTGGTTTGGGAACAATAACAAATTACATTTGTATTGCGCCTCTCACGACAGGATTAATACCTCACAGCAAAGATAGGAATGACCAACTAAATCTCATCCCCCCCCTCATCTCTCTCCACCAAAAAAAAACAAACACCTCAAAAAAATGAACACACCAGGAAAAGAGAGGTTCCGAAGGATCATTCAAACCGAGCGCCAGTTATTATGGTGACAGAGATTTTGTGTCATAAAGATTATTACATCATCTGCATCCCTTGAGTTCTTTTCTTTGGCGGCTTCGTACTTTGCTCTCATCAAATACCCTTTAACTTTGATCAGGATTAAAAAGAAACAGGGGCATCCGTAACCAGTCAGACAACGTTCTCGCATTCTCAGAGTTTAGGGAGCACAAGATCTTTTGCAATCATTTATTTTTTAAAAAAAATGAATGAGCAGGAACAACGCGGAGCTGCTGAGGGGAGTCGAAAGCATTTGAACACAAACGTCAGGCGTTTGTGAGTGCCTCCTCTGGCAATATTAAGAGAATAATTGCTGAATAATTATCATTAATAAGAGCATAACCATTGAATTTGCTCGAGCACCGTAGCAAATCGTCGAGGCGTCTCGATGGCGCCTCAGGATCGCGAATGTCCACCCGTACAGGCGATTGGGATCTCGCTTTTTTAACCTCTCGTCCGTTTTGCTCAGTGTGTGTGTGGGGGGGAAAGGGGGGAAAGGGGGTCATCGAGAAGCCGAACTGGAATAAACGCAAATTTGGGGGAGGGGCGGGGAAACGAGGTGGGTTTGGACCAAGAGAGCGGAGCAAGAGAGTGAGCGATGGGATGTTATATATATATATATATATATATAATAATAATCCTCGCGGTTGTTACAGCGCCTGATCACGTCTTCTCGACGTCTCGAAGCGCTGGGGGCAGAATAGGACCGTGAGGTGAACCGACGGTGTGTTTGTGGGCGAAATCACGAGAGGGAGAGAGAGAGAGAATTACACGTAAACAAACAAACAAACAAACAACAGACACACACGCGAACACCGGAGCGTAACCCTAATAGTCCCGGCATTCGGCGCAGAGTCTCCGCCGCGTCCCGAAGCCCCTTCACGGGACAACACACCCACCGTCAGGTGTTAAGTGACTCTGTGTTTACATATAATGTCTATATATATATATATATAAACACAGAGAGAGATTATAGATACAACACAACAACAACAGCAGCAGCAGCTGCTATTGGCATTTATATATAGATATATATATATATATATATATAGCGCCCGAGTGGGGGGAGGGCAGAGCGTCCGCGGGCGCTTACACTGTGTGTATGTACATTAATATTAATATTACAACGGACACGAGTTGCTTCAGGGGGAGGAGGAGGGGGCGGAGGGGGGGGGGGGGGGGGGGGGGGGAGAAAAAAAAGAAGGACTCACCCGTCCGCCATCCTCCCGGGCTGCCCGGCCCCGCTGCTGTCATGGATGGTTACGCCGCCCCCCCCTCCCCTCCCCTCCCCCAGCCCCGGGCCTCCGGCAACTCACTCAGGCCTCAGGGCCTCGGCCTCTCTCCTCAGCGGAGGGCCGCCGCCTGACTCGCTCACCCCGGCCGGTCAGTCAGTCACTGACCCCCTCACACACACACACACACACGGCGGGAGGAGCGGGAGCGGCCTGTGCTGTGCTGTGCTGCCCGGGGGGTGGGGGGGAGGTGGGGGGATGGGGGAAGAGGTGTTTTTTTTCGGGGCCTTAAAAAAAAAGAGTCCGCGCGAGAGAAAACGGATCCCGCACCGAATGGCGGCGGAGGCGGCGCCGCGAGCGGACACACACCGGGGGACCACCCGTGAGGGGGAGAGCGGGAGGGAGGAGGGGGTCGGGGGGGGGGGAACGATTTCGACAAACGACTTGTGAGGCGTTTAACGGCTCCAAACCCTGGACTACGGCGGCCCGGAGCGGGAGAGACGACAACAACAACGGCGGCGGCGGCTCCTCCCACCCCTCGGCTTCTTGTGGTGGTTGTCGTTGTTGTTGTGCCAAAGCATCGCGTCACCGGGCTGCGCCGCGTCACCCGCCCCGACGTCCTTGCGTCACTGCTACCGCGCGTGCGTGCGTGCGTGCGCGCGTGCAGCGTGGCCCCGCCTCCTGTTGGGCGCGTCACGCGACACGCCTTCTATGCAAATGAGATGACTCACCAATAGTCATTGTTATTGTTCGGTGGTTATTATTAGTGACAATAGTAATTGTTATTGATAAGAATAATTGTTATTGGCGATAATAATTCTTATTAATAGTCATAATCGATGGTAATATATTTTATTGGTGTTGATAATAGTTATTAATAGTGTTTTTATTTTTTAAAAATGTCATTTTTAAAAAAAAATTATTTTTATATTAATAATTGTTGTTATTTATCATTGCTGTTATTCTTATGAATTGTTATTATTAATTATTGTTAATTGTTGAAATTACTAATTATTATTGTTATCGTTAAGAATAATAATAATTAGTAAACCCCTGATATCTCGTCGCTCCAAAGGAAAGGGCTCAGTCACCATTTCTAATAATAATTTGTTCGCTCAATCCACGACTGTTTGTGGGATGTCGCTGTGCGCAATTGGCTGCCAAGTTTCGCCCACAACGAAATACACAGTCACTACACTTTACGGTATATCCACTTTGAGACGTCGCGAAGACCTGATTAAGGCGCTACATCAAATGCAGGGAATATTACTAATGTAAATTATTATTATCATCATCATTATTATTATTATTATTATTCAGTTGTGAACTGGGGCACCTTTCACAGGTTCTGGTGCTGGATTGTAGACTTCCCTGGTGAAGGCCGCTATATAAATGCAAGTTGTTCTCGTGGAAGAATTGGGAGAGATGGTGCGCGGATGGATGCGTTCTCACTGTGCCAGCATTTACGGGGAATAATTAAATTGTCCCATGTTTCCTGCCGCTGTTCTTCCTCAGCCGTGACATTGCGGTCTTACAACTTCCAAAGGCACAATTTAGCCGCAGAACACAGCCGGAGAGAAGACGGAAAGAATGGTTTATTGTCACTTGGCAAAAAAGTACAGTTTATATTGATGGCCAACCCATGTTTTGCTTATTTCAGGCATGTCCTGGGGCAGCCAGCAGGGAGGGCTATTGCCCTGGTCAGGAATTTGGACACGATTGCTTTCCCCAGTAATAATCCTTTGCATTTGATATAATAATAATATAATAATACTTACATTTGATATAATAATATAATAATCCTACATTTGTTACAATAATATAATAATAAACCTTGCATTTGATCTATTAATAATATAATAATCCTTTGCATTTGATATAAAATTAATAGCATAATAATCCTGGCATTTGATTTTACAAATGTAATTTCATCGTTTACAAAAAAATTGACAAACAGTAGCTCAATGATCAAATTATTGCAATTAAGTGCAGTTAGTTTTTAATTAGTTGTCGAACTGATTTTATTCCTTTAGTCAGGAGGAGGAGGAATCCATGTTAACTGACAGAACTCAGTCCACTGTTGGGCTTGAAACTTCAGTTTTGACTATAGCCATTGCATTTTATGATCGTGTTTTGCCCACAGAATACACAGTCACTGCACCCTACAATATATTTGTGAAGCGCTTTGAGACGTCTCAACAACATGATAAGGTGCCATATCAATTGCAAGGATTATTATTATTGCCCTTGTTCATGCCTTCATCACCTCCAGCCTCGACTATGCAAACGCCCTGCTAGTCGGCCTTCCCAAATCCTCCCTCCACAGCTGCAGATAATCCAGAATTAACTCTGCAGCCCGTGTCCTCTCCCGCACCAAACTCCGTGATCCCATCTCCCCCACTCTCGCCCGACTCCATTGGCTCCCTATCTTCAGAGGATCCAGTTCAAGATCCTGGTCCTCACATACAAAGCCCTCCATGGCCTCGCCCCACCCTACCTCTGCGACCTCCTAACCCTCTACCAACCGACCCATTCCCTCCGCTCAGCCGGCTCTGGCTGCTCCACGTCGCCCGACCCACCCGCCCCACCATTGGCGGGAAAGCCTTCAGCCACTCTGCCCCCAACCTCTGGAATTCCATCCCCCAGTCACTCCGCCTCACCCCCTCTCAGCCTCCTTCAAATCCCGCCTGAAGACCCTCCTCTTTGATCGTGCCATCGGCCACCCCCCCTTCTCTCCCTTCTCCCCCTGACCCCAGCTCAGGTCTGAAATGCTGTACTCTTGAGACGTCCTCCCGACGTGAAAGGCGCTATATAAATGTAAACTTGTGTTCTTGTTATTATTAAATACCAATATAACATGAGAGCAGTGGTTAGATGCACAGTTGCCTACGCATGACTGTGTATACGTAGGTGAAACGTGGCAGCCAGTTGCGCACAGCAGTGTCCCACACACCGTGTACTGGATGCTGCCACCTGGTGCTAACAGGGAAAGAGAATTTGCCGGTAGGAATGGGTTGATATATTGTATGACAGGCCTCTAGATCAGACAATGATTAGTGTGCTCTGCTGTACCCAGTATATTACATTCTACTCATTTATGGCCCAGTAAATATCTGATTAATGAGATTGCTAAAATGTTAGCCGTGTGGACAAGTCACATCTGAGATCGTTCTATAATCACCCGTCCTTTTAATCAGGAAGAATGACAGCTGCTTGGAATCTATTTGCATAAGAAACAGTGATTATGTTCAGAGGCAAAGGTTAAAACTCGTCACTGTGTCTACCAAAGAGCTCACCTTCTTTCTAAATGAAGTTCCCAAATGGAATTGGCTGTTAAACCTGTCTGCAAGATGGTGCAAGATGATCATCTCATGTCTCTCTAATGAACTGTGAACATGGGTTGAGTCTGGTTGATTAATGGCTAATTTGAACTGTTTTGTTTTGATGAATCCTCCTGAGATTCTCTCTCTAAAATGTCCCCAAACCATTGCTCCACAACCATAGGTTTGTAAGTCCTTCTTTTGGTAACTAATGGCCTCTTGGCTGTCTAGATGACACTCCTGTGTTCTTTTTGCGATGCTTCCATCAATAATGAAGCAGGCTTGGGTTTAATAATAATAATAATAATCCTTGTCTTTGATATAGCACCTTATCACGTCTTCGAGACATCTCAAAGCGCAATTGGCTGCTGCGTTTCTCCCACAAAATATACAGTCAATTCACTTTGCAGTATATTCTGTGAAGCGCTTTGAATCGTCTTGAAGATGTGATAAGGCGCTGTATCAAATGCAAGGATTATTATTATCTTAGTTTTGTTTCATACTTGCACGAATTTTAGTGCAGTGATCCAGTTAACAAAAGGTTTGCTTTCCAGTATTGATGGAAAACAGGATTAACACTCATTTGTTGGCTGTGACTGTGTGTTTATGAATCTGGCCCAGAATCGATGAGCAAAGGGGATACTGCAATGTTTAGCCTCTAGATTGAGATAATAAAGGTTTCGGTAAGTGAAACATTCCCCGTCGCCATCCCAGAATAACGGTTGACCCGTGAATCCAGCCACAACATAATCACTTTCACGACATTTGTCACTTGAATTGTCTTTAAACAGGATGCTAAACCAGTTGAGATATGGTGGCTTTAAAAAGACCCCGGGAGCCACAGCCTTTATGTGAGCGATGCTGTTAACTTGCAAAGCCGTGGAGCACATAAAGGACTCAGACAATAGCACTGGCCCTCGACAATAGCCGACTCTCTGCCAATGCAAGGCTTGTGACTGCGACATCAGGGAGACCATTTCAAATACATTTCATCTTAGTAAGTACCGCTGTCTGATCACAAGGCCTGACAATCTCTTTCAGCAAAACGGTTGAGGATAATTTATGAAGCCATCGCCACACTCTGATGGCAGCTCTTTGTTGCGTGTTTGCCCTTGAGAAATGGGACACGATTATGAGCTCTCGGGCTGGCAGGTGCCGACACTGTTCGCCTCTCCCTCCCTCCAGAGGATCAGGGAGCACATGTCACCTGGTCCCATCGATGGTGCGAGGAGTCCCACATGGGACATCGCTGTGCGCAAACTGTTTCGCCCACTAAATATATAGTCGCTATGCTTCACAGTGTATCACAGGTGCTAAACCAAATGCAAGCATCAATACGATTTTTGGACTGCTACACTGACCCACACCTGATCCCTCACTGACACGATTAAACATTTATCTGAAAGGGAAAGAAATTAAGCTTTGTATCCAAAACTTAGACAAAAAGGACAAAAAAACTTCCAGAAACATTGGTTTTAATAAACATTTTACTGTAAACATCTCAAACGTTCCATGAAATACAATTTTCATGTGGTTTGCGTGTATTTGCTCACCCAATAATTAAAATACTGCTTGTTTGTGTATGTATTTACAATAGATGCTGTCATCTCTCTAAATGCATGGTGGGACCATGTGTGTGCGCGTCTGCATTTGTATGTCTATGTGTGTGTGTGTGTGTGCATGCGTATGGTATAAGGTGTGTGGGTGTATGGTGTGTGTGTGTTTGTGTATGTCTGTGTGAGCGTGTGAACTGTATATGGTGTGTGTGTATGGTGTGTGTGAGAGTATGGTGTGTGTGTGTGTGTGCGTGTGTATGGTGTGTGTGTGCGTGTGAGTATGGTGTGTGTGTGCGTGTATATGGTGTATGGTGTATGTGCGTGTACAATGAGAAAACACAATAACAACGCTCAGTAATACAGTGATTTGCATAGTACAGATCTGTGCGGAACGTAGAAAATAATATCTGTTGGCAATACATAGTTTGTCATTCTTAATACTTAGTTTACAATTATCCCTCTTCAAATTACAGTGTAAATCTGGGGTGGGGGGTGGGGGCGGAGGGAGGGCGGGTTGGGGGAGAAGAGAGTTACAGAAACAATTCAACCCCAGCTCGAGTGCTCAACCAGCAATTGCAAAGTACTTTGAGACATGAAAGGCGCTCACTGTATAAATGTACATTTTTCGCCCACAAAATACAGTCACTACATTTTACAGTGTATCCTGTGAAGCGCTTTGAGAAGTTTTGAGGCTCTGTATCAAATGCCAGGATTATTATATTATCCCTCGGAACAGGCAAAGATTCACTCTTTTCGAATGTTGGGTTCATAATTAGCAGCAATTCGGAACACGTCGGGATGACCAGAGGATGCGCGGAGAGAGAGAGGGGGCGCGAGAGATTCCGTTTCAGAATGAATCACTTCTCAACGTCCGTGGTGGGCGGTGGCAGTCGGTGTGAAGTGGGCTGATACACAGCGCAGGAGCAGGGGCAGGGGCAGGGGGGGTCACTCCAGGGGGTGTAAGAGATACTGGGGTGTAAGGGAGGGGAGGCTGCGGTGCTGCCCGGCACCAGATGTTGGTGATGGTGATGATGGTGAGGAGCCAGGAAGCCCAGGGAGGGCTGGAGAGGGAGCTGGCCAGTCACTGAGGCTCCTAGTGGGGCACAGCTCTGCTGGGGGCTGGGGTGAGAGTGGAAGCCATGTCTGGCTCCGCAATAAACATCCCCCAGAAGCTTCTTCATCTCCTCCAGGGAGCTGGCCAGCATGAGGATGTAGTTCCTGGCGAGGAGCAGCGTGGCGATCTTGGAGAGCTTCCTGACCGAGGGGCCATGGGCATAAGGCATGACTTGGCGGAGTCCGTCCATCGCCACATTAAGGTCGTGCATCCGTCTGCGCTCTCGGCCATTCACCCTGAGCCTCAGGTCCTGTAGCTCCATCTCAGATACAACCTCCCCTTCCTCCTCTTCCTCCTCCTCTTTCTTCTCTTTCCCTTTCTCCTTCTTCTTGGCTCTCACCTTGGTCTCTCTCGCTCCTCCTCTGCCCTCGCCCTTGCCATCTCCATCCACATCCACAAAGTTTGTCAACATTGACTTTCCCATCGAGACATGATCATCAACACTAACACCGACGCTGACACTAACCAGGTCTATTTCTGATAAAGATTCCCCGCTGGAGAGCTGAGAGCCGGTGTCTGAATCCATCTCCAAGCTGCTGGTCTATTCACAAAACCCTCCAATGTTGCGGTATTTTGTTTTAACTTGTTTCTGGGTCGAACAGGACACTTGATACCCTGTACATATATTCCCCCAACTCTCCCTCACCAAGGAGACAGGCAGAGTGACTGAGATTCTGTCCCCCCAAGGTTTCCTCGTCGCTGATATTTATACGCAGTGCCTCCCCGCAGGCTCTTGACAAAGGAACAATGAGTAAAAATGTCAGGGAGCTTGTTAGCTTTGACATCCGTCCAATCATTAAGGCTGCAGGATTTTCACTGGTCCGTTTAGCAAATTAACTGTTCACATCCCTCAACAAGCAAGACCCCCCCCCTCCTCTCTTGGTTTCCCAAAATGTAAAAACCCCCGGAACTAACCTGCCAAACAGTCGTGGGTTGAGTGACCAAATTATTATTATTTTTATTTATTTTTTGAAGCGATTATTGCCCCCAGGAAAAGCAATCCGCCAATCGATTAACAACCTGGTGCCTACCTGCTGCTAGGTAAACAGAGGAGTGTGCAGTGAGAAAACTTGCCTAAGCTTTCGCCCTGACCGGGAAAATAAGATTAAACAGATATTTAGTGTAAAAGTGATCCCAGAGAAAAATTGTTCAGTGTAAAATATTTAACGTTAAAAGACATTCTTAAAGCAGCGCCAGAGAAAAAATTATTTTCCAAGGACAGTTAGTTACCGCATTCAAACAATAAAGAATGAAATAATTAAGCATCAAAAACCTGTTTATAATCCAGAAAGAAAAATAATCTACAAGTCACGATGGAGAAGTTCTGTCTCGTTATTGCCTGTAATAAGCCACGACAAAAAGAATGTGAAAATTGGGGAAATTTTGTTAGTTCCCTGACATGGTTGCACCCTCAGTGACAAAGTAATCATTGAATCACTTCTGACTCGGTTTGTTGTTTAACTTTCTCTATTAAGATTGTGCTGCATATCTGTTCTTTTCCTTTTATCCCTATCATCGCTTTCGCTCTCTCACTCCTATCCACACTACCCCCCACGCCCCCACCCCACACACGCACACACACCCTCGCACACTTTCACACACACACAATCTGATTCAGCCTCTCGTTTGTTTCGTGCATTTAATTTTCCATTTGGTTCATTTAACTCCAAAAGTGTTTGTGTAAATTCTCCGAGACGCTGCCCCACGTGGAAGAGGCCGCTATATAAAGGCAAGTTGTTGTTATCTAACCAGAAGATGAAGTCTTTTAGCGAGGACTGTCTCGCAGAAATGGGGGGCGGGGGGGAGAGTGGTGGTGGGGAGAGCAGGGGTGGTGGGGGGAGAGCAAGCGTGATATAAGTATTGACTGGATAAACCGGGAATTCGCTCCGGTATACAACCCCAGTGATAGGCAAAGAGAAAGCTATTTATTTGGCTATTGCTTTGACCACAGGGACAACAGCAAAGTAGGAGGTATAGTGAAAGCATTAAAATTTAATCCAGTGCCTTTCAGCTTTCAGACTGGACACAAAGGAATCTCTCCTGACCCTTTTGAGAAGAAACAGCAAAGTGTAAAAGGGAGGTTGAGGGGGTGCTTAAATAAGGGGCTTGTGGTAAGACCCAAATTTCTTGTGCTGTAATCATTAAACCTGCTTTACAACAGTGAAATGACCTTTCATTGAGACACTGCCTTTGAAGCAACCTGTAAAAGTTCACAATACAAGATGATAGACTGATGGTGAGCAGCACAGACTATAGCTGTGGGGTGACCGAGTCTTGTGAATTTTACAGGACAAGTCGTGCCCACAATTCCACGTTTCTCAATGTATATTTTTCGCCTGTTTCAGAAAAAAGTGATAGTTCTCGATTGGCAAGGACACAAGAGGCTGCTTTTGCCCGTTCATCTTTCACAAATATCACAAGCCATGAGAAGCCAGTTTTAACTGGTTAGACTCCAGCGGACACCAGCGGGCTCTAGTCCCGGATCCTGAGCCAGGAGGGTCCTCAGTATTCCAGGGCACTTGCTGCTGATGACGGCACAGCTCGGCCTGGCTCATCAGCAGGACCTGGAAGAGCAGACCAGTCACTGGAGTAGGGAGTCATCTCACTCAGCTCCTGTTAACCCTGCAGCCAAAGCCCTAACTAAAGGGGAGGGTGGTCCTAGCTGGACAAGCAGCGGGAAAGCTTGGCCAGACTGCGCTCTCAATGGCCAAGCTATGTGTGGGTTTAGCTGGTTCGACTCCAGTAGTTACACACTCTGGGCTCCCCCCAAGCCTTGGCTCTTGCCAACCTGGGCCTAATACGAACAGTTATAGTCAATTGTCCACCCAATGGTTCATTCGTCAGTGAGAAGAAAAATGAAAAAAATATATAAAATTGCAGTTTTATAAATATTCACAGTATTCTCTTTTATTCTGAAACCTATTCACTCTTTTTTGCTGTTAAATCAGGGCAAGTCCAGTGATATATGTTTGTGATGGGTCCAATCCTCAGCCAGTCTGCATATATTTGTTATACTATTTTATAATATGTTGTATAATATTATGTGTAATGATATAACATAAAATATAATATAAATACATATAATAATATATAATATTGACATTGATTCATAATAATATGTATTTATGCATAAAATGTATACATCAGCGAGTAAGTACCATGTGGTCTAGCACGAACCATAATAAAACCACATACGTATACACGTAATATAGAAACTTTGCAGAGGACAATAATATTCTACTTAAAGGGAAAGCAAACAAAACCTCAAAGGTCCTTCATGTAGGAACAGTTGGATATATACTCAAGTGTGCTCTATCCTGCCACACGCTCTCGGCGTATACAATGGCTGTCAGAAAAACAAACTACAGTATTGAGGATGAAAGAATTCTCCCCCATCACCCCCCCACCCAGAGCATCATTCACTTGATTCTTATTGTCTGAGCTTTAGCTCCACTTCCTTTCATTTTCCACAGCAACCAAATGCACATCTGTGAGTGTAGCAGACAGTGGGCTATTCAGGCCTGGCATATGTCCATTGTTCTGTCCCTACTCTTTTAACCATCTTCTGCCCCTCACCCCATGCCCTCGGGTCACCAAGTACAAACATCCAGTGTTGGTGGCCACTTCTCTCTCCCACTGTATTGTTAACCAATTAACTCAGCCACTTTCAATGAGATTTGGTTGCATTCATTGGGTCAACTTGAGATAGATTGGTTTCAGTAGCGAGTCAGTAAACAAACCCTGAAAGTGGTAGATAAAGCATACAAAATCTACATCTTCTTCATAGTCTTTGTCCATCATGTCCATCATCCAAAATACCCACTCTACCTTTCCATTATATAGTTTATATAACATACACCATCAAACTGCTTCTTATCAATCAATTGTAAATTTTCTCTTTGATGCCACCTTCCCATTCTGTAATAATAATAATAATCCTTGCATTTGATACAGAACCTCATCACGTCTTCTAGACGTCTCAAGGCGCTTCACAGGATATACCGTCAAGTGAGTTGACCGTATATTTTATGGGTGAAACGCGGCAGCCAATTCCGCACAGCAGCGTCCCCACAAACACTTGTGATTCAGTGACCAAATTTTAGACTGTTTAAAAAATTTAAATGACTGTTTAAAAGATTGTTTAAAAAATGTTGCTTAACAGCAGCCACTGACCCAGAGCTAGAGTTTATATATTAATAATACTCTACTGGGCTCTTAGTCATATTATGTTGAATTGAACTAAATAATCCTGTGCTGGTGAACAGTGAAATGGCATTTTGATGTTAATTAACGGCAGCATAATTTACATGTTTAATGACTTTGGGTTTAGCAAGTCTGCCTCGCTCCTAAAACTGTGTTTGGGAATTTGCTGCTTAATGTCCAGTTTGATGCCTTGGGTTACACACAACGTTCCTGAAACTTCGTTTTTTTTTAATTTATCTCAGATAACAAGTCCGCGCGAAGTGGCCTCGCTCTCAGGCCTCGTGTTGAAGTGAAGTTAATGTTAACATAATTAAACGTTTATGGGTTTGGGATCTAAATTTATTTGTTCAGGATACTAATGAGCGAGATGTGTATCTGCATACAAAATAGCTCCTAATCGTACCCTCGCCACAATTAAAAACATGACAGTGATCGTGTTCAGTTTGTTTTACTGCAAAGTCCATAAATTTCCAAATCCCTTTGGTTCACTAAATAGTTTAATATTTGATAGACCAGCATCTATAAACCAGATTCCGTCCCCCCCACCCCGACCCCCACCACCCCCCCCTTCCTTCCCACCCTCATGAAGTTGCTTGTAACTGTTATAATTATTGAGTTAATAAACAGACAATTTGAAGAAAGAAATCCTTAGAAAATCGCATCGAGTTTGATGGGAAACAAACCTCAATTGAAACTATCTGGTGTAATTCGAGCTTTTAAAATGGAAGTTTTCCATTTATTTTCACCAGCTCCATCTGCCCTAAGAGACTATTGGGAGAATCCGTGCTGTTAGGGCTGTGACAAGTTCCAGAAACCATCCATCCAGCAATACCAGCCCACCAAGCCGTGCCAACTGCCAATAGCTGGCTAATGATTTCTACAACATCTTCTCTCCCATCCATTGATATGAACAGGCATTTCCGTGGTTCAGTGCTCTCGCCTCTGGGTCAGGAGGTTGTGGGTTCAAGCCCCACGTTGGGGACTTTGAGCTCACAATCTAGACTGACACGACACTCCACTGCAGCGTTCGGTGATGTGCAGCATTGGGAGAGCAGACCAGACACTAAACTGAGGTCCATTTAGGTCAGTGATGGCCAACCTCTGGACGTCACATCAAGAAGTGCCCACCCGCCCCACCCCGAATATTTTCAGGACTCCAGGTAAGTCCGTGTTCCAGGGTTTGTTGTTCGTACAGTTCTTTCTTGATTGAATATTTCTTGACCTTTTATTATGGCAGAAATCCTGAAATGTTTTAATCAAGAAAAAATGTATTTTGTAGCCGAGCATAAAGGTCAACCATCACTGCTATAGATAAAGATGTAA